TTAATTATTTTTTACTTTTATTTTATTTATTAAAATTTTCCCTCCGCCGCGATCTATGCGGTTTTGTCAGTTTTTTCCTTTGAAGATTCATAATATAGAATTAAGACTTTTTCTGTTGGCAGGGTTTTCCCCGATTGAATACATCGGGGGGCTGTGCCTAGCTAAAAATCTAAAAAAGAAAATTTTTTGTGACCCTACTCTGCCGCATCCCTAGGTATTCCTGTGCCGCCGCTGGGAGAAAGCTGGGTTTGGGAGCGGATAGGGCCCCCAAGCCACATCCACACAGTCGGCAGATTATACAGAAACCGAATAATTAATCGCCAGGCGATTTGGAAAGCCTTTGACTCGATGAGATCTGGTCTTTCTGGGTCCCTGAGCGTTCCAATAGTTTGGGCGAAACACCCAATGAGAGATGTCCACAAACCCGCCCCATTCCGTCCAAGTACAGAATCAGCAAACAAGGTCCTTCCCATTGCTCGGGGATTGAGACGTTTTTTCCCCAAAATTGTTCAAAAAAATAAAATGATAACGGGGCAAAAAAAAATTGTTGAAAATTCTCATTTTTTTATGTCTGTTTTTTTCGTGTTTCGACTCCCCTAACCTTTTAAGTTTTGGAGTGGGTTAATGTAGGTAGGCTTTTATTGTTTCCCCAAAAACTAATTAAAGAAAAAACAGACGCCCCGGGAAAAAAAATTTGTCTACAATAAAGAAAAACACAGCATTTGTAGAAAGTTTTAAAAGTTTAAAATATTTTTTTGGGGGTTTAAAAACGTGTGCGTTACCCAGAAAAATAATTCAAAAAGGGGTCATTTAAAATTTTATAGATAATTTGTTGCTCCCCTTCTGTAATTGTTGGGCCCATTTTAAAATTTGTTTCATTTAACTTTTTTAGTTATTTCAAAAAAAATTTTCCTGCGGGAAGTTGAAACGTTACCGCAGCAGACATTTTTTTTTTAAATTGAATATTAAAAAAATTTTAGCTAAAAAATTTATTATCTGGACTAGGTAAATGTTACAATTATTTGGTTTTTTGTTTTTTCTTCGGCTGCGAAGTTTTCAAAAACCTGTTTGGATAACGTTTGGGGTTTGCTGGATCTCTGAAAGGGGTAAGGGATTGTAACCATCTTTTTTCAAAAACTTTTTAAAGGATTATTTTAATTTTTTTGAAATAAAAAAACAAAAATAATGGACCGTTTAAAAATTATTTATGTATGAAAACCTTCAACGTCCTAACACTTGAATAAGACCTCAAAACTTATAAAAACTTTTTATTCTTTGCTTGAAACACCTTCAAAGATCAAATTTTCGTAAGAATACTGAAAGTGACTAAAAAGTATGAAAATGTAGCCTCCAATTTCACGATCAAAATGTGTGGGGCCTTTTTCGGGCCCCCGATAAACCTGTGTGTGGATATATAGACTAAATGTTATGCCATATTAGTTGTTTAGTTCATTGTCTACCTGTAAATTTCAGCGTGTACTATAATAATTACAGAAATTAAAAAAAATCATTAAAGGGGTGCAAGACCGTGGTAACCCGACCTTTTGGGTGGTTAAAAAAAAAGCGTCACCATTACTTGTGTGGTTTTTTAAAAATATTAGGATATACTTGCAAGTTTACACGGATATTAAGTGTTACAAAAAACTCAGTTTTTTAAATATTTTTTTATTGGGTTTGTTTTTGCAAATTTAGTAATCGCGGAATTAAGGTATTTTTTTGAATGCTTTTTTTTCAAATTTTTTGAGGGGGGAATTGTTTTGTTGTTCATAAAATTTGGTACCGGGTAGTATTTTTTAAATTTTGAATTTAATTTTAGGGTGGGTATAGGTTTTTAAGTTTTAAAAGATGTAACGTATGCGTTGTAAATGGGGTTTTTTGTGAAAGGGGTTTTTTTAAGTGTGAATCGATTATTTCGTAATAATTTGGGAAAAAAAAAATATTTAAACACAAAACGCGGTGATTTAAATTATAATAAATAAAATTTTTTTATGTAAAATTAGTAAAAGTGATATCCCCTACCTACAATTTATGATGTTTTTAATTTGTTCACCCTTTTTTTTTTTTTTTTTCGTCGGAAATCCCCCTGCGGGGGCTTCGGAAAATTTTTTCCCCATGAACTAAATTTCAATATAGCTTAGAAATTAATATCCTAAACAAAAATTGCAATTTTTAAAAATTGAATCAAATTACATTAATGCCCTTATTTAATTAGGTAACCATATTAAAAACTCTCAATACGTAAATTTTCAAAAATAGAAAGGGGAAAGCGCACAGTACTTTCACAGTATATTATCTGCCTAAGGGTCAAATTTTTGTGCATAGATGCAATTGAAACAAAGAAGTTCCCTTCGCCCCCCCCCTCCCCCGTTCTAGCGAAGATTTTTTATCGCGATTTTTGATTTACAATATTTTCTGCCAAAAATTTTTTTCTATAAAAAGGGGATCAAATTCACCGATAAATTAAATTTCCGTTATTATATAAAATATCATTCAACCTGTTTTTGTTTTTAAAAAGAAACAACAGCAGGGCTCAACGCTTAACGGAATGTACATGGTATAGATAATTCTCGGTTTTCGGTATGACCACAGAAAAATTTCCTACTCTACGAGGTATACCTGTTTTGGGGGAGCAAAGTTGATGCATTCTAATTTTCAACTGTATTCTTCTACTATTCGGGTTCTATTTTACTTTTTGTAGAGACTTGTTTCTTTAAATTTTTTGATGCATTCAAATTTTAACTCTATATACCCCCAAAAAAAAATACAATTTCTTTAGTGTTATTTTTTTTACTAAAAAAATCAAGAAAAAGAAACGTTTTTTATTTTTTTTAAAATTTTTGATTTTTTTGCATCAGGGAAAAGTTCATACATTTTCAAATTTATAATTTAGCGGACCAGTGCAGTTTTTTGTTTATTGTAGCTCCCGGGAGTAAAAAAAAACTAAAAAATTTTTAGTAAAGAAACTAGTGCTTAAGACAATTAGGGAAAAAAAAAAAATATTAATAAAAGAATAAATATTGAATGTATTTAAACCGCACGCAAATGTACGAAATCGTAAGGGGTTTAACTAAAATTTTTTAAAAAACAGCGCCAAGTCGGGGGATCGCTTTTTTTTAACCACCTAAAAATGGTCGGATTACCGGGCTTTCACCCTTTAATGATTTTATTTAATTATCTCGTAAAAATTATTTTTGTACGACGCTGAAAATTTTTTCAGGGAGACAACTGAACTAAACACTAATTATTGGCATAAAATTCAGTTTATAATCCCACACAGGTTTTCGGTGGGCCCAAAAAAGCCGACACATTGTGATCTGAAAGTGGGAAAATAATTTCATCATAAGTTTTAGTCCTTACAGTATTCTTTGAAAAATTTTATACATTTGAAGGGAGTTTTCAAGCAAAAGAAAACGTTTTAAGTTTCTTTGGGTCTTATTTAAAATGTTTTGGACTATTGAAGTGTTTTCAGACTTACCTAAAAATTTTTAAACGGGCCTTATTATTGTTATTTTATTTCGAACAAATTAAAACTAAAACCCTTAAGAAATTATTACAAAAATGGTTACAATCCGCTTCCCCCTTTCGAGATCCGCAAACCCAAACGTTACTCCGCGGGGTTTCGAATAACTTCGCACCCCAAAAAATACAAAAACCAAAAGTTGTAAAATTTACCAGTCCAGATAAATAATATTTGCTAAAAATTTATTTCAATTACAATTAAAAAAAAAAATGTCTGGCGCGGTAACGTTTTAAAAGTTACCCCAAGGGAAATTTTTTTTTGAAAAAACTAAAAAGTTTAAGTGAAAAAATTTAAAAAATGTGCTTAACAATTACAGAAGGGGAAAATAATTATTATAAAGTTTAAAAAACCATTTCGACTTTTTTTGCTGGGTAACGCCACCCAAATTTAAAGTCTTGAATTTCCTTTTTATTAATTATTTTAAAAACCCTAAAAACTAACCAATGTTACCTAATGCTTAAAAAACTTTGAAAGTCAATTTTGATCGTTTTTAGCTTCCCTTTGGTCTTCTGCGAAAATAAAACTTCACTCAATTTTTTTCTTTCTATTTTTTAGGTATGCGGAATATCAAATTTCTTCCCCGGTTTTTTTAACCCCTAAAAACCTGCCCACCCCCCTGAAAATCTTTTGATGATTTAAAAAAAGATTCGTTGATCGGCGACGGGAAAAGAAAATTCCAGTGAAATTACGACAATAAATAGAAAAAAATTACAATTTTAAAAAAATTTTCTTGAGCGTTTACAAACTTGTGCGCGATCATCTCGAGCGCAAATTTAAAAAAACCCACGGGGAAATGAAAAAAACAGTTGGGTCTTTTTTAAATATAATTTTTTTAAATTTTAAAAACTAAAAAACCCCCTAATCTCACCCCGGGGCTCCCCGGGCAATAAAAAAAGTTCTATAAAACCATTCGTCACTCTAAGCAAAACCGCGCGACGCGCCATTCATTTTCTGTGTCCCGAACCCCCCCAAAGCCCCAAAGAAAGGCCCTGCCCTAAACTCGGTGTGCTCTTTGGGCGTCGAGCTCCTGCGGTCGTCCGGGGGCCGCCCCGGGGCCCGCCTCGTCCACGGGCTCGTCCTCGGGCAGGGGCGTCCGGCCCCACCCCCAGGGGGCCCCCGGCCGGGCATGCTTTTTCCACCGGCCCGGCCGAATTTCCTTCCCCTGGCCCTCCTGCAGCATATAGCCCGACCTGGGGGAAAAAGGGGAAAATCCGCCTAAACCGTCCCTTACGCCCCTTCCCTAGGGGCCGTGCCCGCCTCCCCCGGGGGAAAATAAAAACCCCAGGAGAGAGGGGTAAGACGCGGGCCCGGAAACGGACAAACCCTGAGGGCGGCGGTGCGGTAAGCGGTTCGGGGCCCGAGGCGGTGCCCCTTGTGCTGGGGGCCCGTCCTGCCCGCGCGCATTTGCTCCACGTGAGGGGGTGGCGATTTGGTTAATCTCCATCATCTTCTTCGCTCGGGGTGATGTTTGGGCGCTTTTGCTTTCACCCGCCGGGTAAACAGTAGGGGTTTAAAGCTAGAGTGTTTGGTTTTTGGGGAGAGGCGCCCCATGTTGGGCGGTCCAGCCAAGGCGGTGGGAGGGGTTCCCGGGGTACGGTACACGCCACCTTCTGGTGCGCTTTTGGAGAGGCGAGGCGCCCCATTTTTGCCGGTCCAGCCGAAGGCGGGGGGGAGAGCCCCGGGTTTACGGTACACTCCCTTCGGGTTTGCGCTTTGGGAAAGAGTGCGAGGCGCCCCTTTTTGCCGGCCGGGCCGAAGGGGGTGGGAGGGGCCCCCGGGTACGGTAAAATCCCTTTTTGGTGCGCGTTGGAGAGGTGGAGGCGCTCCATTTTTCCGGTCCAGCCAAAGGGCGGGGGGAAGGAGCCCCGGGTAGGGTACACTCACCTTCTGGGGGCGCTTTGAGAGTGGGGAGGCGCTCCATGTTCCCCGGTCCACCGAAGGGGGGGGGGGAGTCCCGGGGTTACGGTCCCAACTCCCCCTTCTGGTGCGCTTTGGGAGGGGGGCGAGGCGCTCCTGTTGCCGGTCCAGCCGAAGGGGTGGGAGAGCCCCGGGACGGAAACACTCCCCTTTGGTGCGCGTTGGAGAGTGCGAGGCGCTCCATTTTCCGGCCCAAAGGCCCGAAGGGGGGGGGAGAGTCCCGGGTTTACGGTACACCCCTTCTTTGCGCCGTTGGAAAGTGCGGGGCGCTCCATTTTGCCGGTCCCCCCGAAGGCGGTGGGGAGTCCCGGGTAGGGTTAAACTCCCCTTTGGGTGCGCTTTTGGGGGAGTGGGGGGCGCTCCATGTTGGGGTCCGCCAAAGGGCGGGGGGAGAGTCCCGGGTACGGTAAAATCACCTTTTTGGGGGGCGCTTTTGGAGAGTGCGAGGGCTTCCATGTTCCCGGGTTTCCAGCCGAAGGGGGGTTGGGGGGGAGCCCCGGGTACGGTACACTCACCTTCTGGTGCGCGTTGGAGAGTGCGAGGCCGCTCCATGTTCCCGGGGCCCCCAGGGGAAGGCGGGGGGGGAGGGGGCCCCCGGGTTTTACGGTACACTCACCTTCTGGTGCGCTTTTGGAGAGTGCGAGGCGTCCGTTCCCGGTCCAGCCGAAGGCGGTGGGAGAGTCCCGGGTACGGTACCTCCCCTTTTCTGGTGCGCTTTGGAAAAGTGCGGGGGGCGCTCCATTTGCCGGTCCAGCCAAAGGCGGGGGAGAGCCCCGGGTACGGTACCTCCCCTTCTGGTGCGCTTTGGAAAATTTGGCGGGCGCTCCATGTTCCCTTTCCACCAAGGCGGTGGGAGACCCCGGGTTTTACGGACACTCCCCTTCTGGTGCGCTTTTGGAGAGGGGCGAGGCGTCCATGTTCCCGGTCCAGCCGAAGGCGGGGGGAGAGCCCCGGGGTACGGTAAAATCACCTTTTGGTGCGCGTTGGAAGAGTGCGAGGCCTCCATTTTTGCGGCCCACCCGAAGGCGGTGGGAGGCCCCGGGTACGGTACACTCACCTTCTGGTCCCGGGGTTGGAGAGGCGAGGCGCCCCATGTTGCCGGTCCACCAAAAGGGCCCGGGGCCCGGCGGGGGCCCGGCCCGGGCGGCGCGAAAAGGGGCCGGGGGGACACGGGGGGGGGCAGCGCGTGATGAAAGTCCCCCCGCTTTTTGCTGACCACGTCGTCAGCGGGGGGAAAGGGCCCCCGTCTTTTTGGAAAGCCTCCATGCGTTTCCTGCTCTTGCTCGTCTTTTTACCCCAAAAAAACGAACATGGGAAATTTCCGAACGAAAATCACTGTTACTAAAGTGTACTATAAATGTGACCTAATAAGTGAACAATCATTAACAACTGATTAAAATTCAATGTTAAAAACAAAAGCAAATTACTAGTATCGTCTGTTCGATCTATTACGATATAGGATTCCGTCGTCTAAAGCAACACTTAAACGAACCTACGTTTCTGCTTTATCCTTATTTGGTGATAATGGTCACCCAAGAGCCACACCGCCGAGTGGATAAAGATAAACTAAAATGCAGAGTTGGAGTATGTTTTCGAGTATGTATGAGCGCATCGAAGTGGAGAAGGGCTGCAGTTTAATTTATGTATAGTACAAACGAGGGACAACTGCGCACCACACGTTTACAGAATGCCGTCGTGGGTGGAACAGAGGTGTAGGCTGGTGGCGGCCATCGGAGTGGGACTTCTCTCGCTCGGTAACATGGTACGCAGTGAGAGTGTGTGTGGAACTCCGCCGTCTCCTTCTGCGAGCAAGTTATGCTTGCGAAGAAGATGTAGGAGCGGGACCGGGAGAGGTTTAGAACTCTCCGGCCGGAACCGCGGACGACCCAGGCGCCGAAGGTCGCAGAACCTGTGTCCTCAATAAGCGCAGGCCTGGAGGTGGCAGGTGAGGCCGACTGTCGCCCTAGCAGAAGCAGGTCGAGGGTGGCGGCGAGACGCGCTGTGGAGCGCGCGCGCCCTTTCGGGAGCACAAAGGGACCATGAGAGTTCCCACACAGGAGGGGGTCATCTACGCGCAATAAATTGCCCGAGGTACGTCGGGGTACCAGGGATTTCCTATCTAGGGTAAACCTGGTAGCAAGCAAGCAAGTGGTACCCGAGACGGCGCGGGCGTGCAGTTTTTGGTCGGTTCGAGTCCGACAAAACGACCGCACCCATCATTCGAGATTTCCGCACAAAAAAAAAACAGCAAGTGCGAGTCGGACTCGATATTCTTTACTCTTTTTTTTGTAATCTGTGGTATGTTAAAGAGTTTTGTAAATATTAGAATTATGTTATTGATTTAATAATTAGACTATAAAGACAATGATAATATATCTGTGCACCAATGAATAAATGATTATTGAATAATTAGTGCTTTATTTCTCTGATTTATCCCACAAGTCTTTTCGGTTCCGCGCGCCCGCTCCCGTTACATATGACCGCGCGCCCGATTGAAGGTTAAATATTTATTTTATTCTGTTTTTAGTATTTTAGTCTAACTACTGTCTAACTATCACGCTTATGAGATACAGCCTGGAGACAGACGGACGATTAGTGGAGTCTAAGTAATAGGGCCCCGTTTTCCCCTTTTAGGTACGGAACCCTAAACAGGGATACAAACGAGTCACCTTACGGTTAAACGGGACACCGATACGGCAATGGAACGATGCACACATTATTATATCAAAAATAAGTAGAGCCAGCATCAGAATCCTAGGTATTGACATATCGAGCGAAGTCCAGTTTCGGAGTCACTTAGAGGGTAAGGTCAAATTGGCCTCGAAGAAGCTCGGTGTGCTGAACAGATCGAGGCAGTATTTCATTCCGGCCTACCGCCTTCACCTCTATAAGGCGCAAGTCCGGCCGCATATGGAATACTGTTCTCATCTCTATACAGGGGCACCTCAGTACCAGCTTCTCCCTCTGGACCGCATCCAACGAAGAGCGACTCGAATCGTCGATAGCCCAAACATCTCCGATCGGCGCGATCGTTGGCGTTACGTAGAGATTTAGCTTCACTCTGTATTCTCTATCGCATATATCATGGAGAGTGCTCCGAGGAATTGTTCGGACTAATGCCGCAACTTTCCGCCATCGTTCCACCAGCAAATTTTCATCCTCATCACCTGGATAGTTGGCGCTCCACTACTGTGAGCTTTTCGAGACACTTTTTGCCCCGCACAACCAATCCGTGGAACGGGTTATCGTCTGGGGTATTTCCGGACCGATACGACTTCAAACCTTCAAGAAAAGAGAGAGTACTTCTTCCTAAAAGGCCGACAACGCGTTTGTGACTCCGAGTTGCAGTCGCTCATCAGGGTTTACTTTCGATCAGGTGACCCGTCCTGCTCGTCTGCCCCCTCTAACATAAAAAAGAGTAGAAAGAGACGCAGACTCACTCTCTTCGAGGTCGAAGATCTCCTTGGCGATGTTCTGGAACTTCTTGCCGTCGTACTCGGGCAGCGAGGAGAGGCAGTACTCGTACACGGCCTCGGTGAGGTAGAGCACCTCGTAGCCGCGCTTGACCAGGCGCTCGGCGAAGGGCGACTTGCGCACCTCGGCCTGCGAGGCGCCCGCGATGTAGTAGATGTGGTTCTGGCCCGCCTTCATCCGCGGCGACGTAGTCGGCCAGGAACGTCATGTCGGACCCGTGCGACGAGTAGAAGCGCAGCAGCTTGGCCAGCGCGAGCGGTTCGACGGGTCCTCGATCACGCCCAGCTTGATGCTGCCGACCGACACGAGAGTTACTTCGGGTCCGCTAGGGTCGCGGGGTAGCGTCGCTAAAGCTCTAGTCTACACTTACTTGGTGGAGTACTCCTTCCAGAAGGCCAAGTACTCGTCGTCAGGAATCTTCTTGAGCATATCGAGCACTTTGCGGACGAGCTTCTTCTTGATGATCTTGATCAGTTTGTGCTGCTGTAGCGTCTCGCGGGACACGTTCAGCGGTAAGTCGTCACTATCCACGATACCCTAGATGAACGTTTTTAAATTTAAAAGACTACATTGATCATCGATTTTTTTTTCTCTCACTTTCGTTTGTGGTAAAATGAAAACTCACTGTATTTTTTAAAGACCTGTCCCACTAGGAATATATCCTGTGTCATAGGGGCTTTACGAACATACACGAAACGGACAAAAAGAGCGCCAGACCTGAGTCTGTTCTGGGTTCGATCTCCATTGGGAACATCAGTTTTGTCACCATCACACGAAAGCGCGCCAAACACAAAATCCGGCAGTCATTTTTAAATTTTTAAAAA